TGATCAGGCTAAAATTCCTGCAAAGCAGCCACCACGGCGTCAGTTAGGATGCAGGTTGTCCATAAATCATGAGTGAATAGTCGATCCAGTTTCAACGCCTGTAGCTCAACAATCACAGTTTGATTTGTTGGCTATAAGCGATTAGTGGAGTGAGTGATGACTTCTGAAAGATAAACCTTCCAAAACAAATACCGTACTAGACGCAGTTAAGAGAGTTAATTCGATCACTCCTTCGCTCAGATTCAGATGTTCATCAGCTAATATTAATCAAGGTGAGTAGTGGGGATGTTTTCTCGAAAGGAACAAGTCAGTGTATTTGACATTTTGGTGACTTGACCTATCATTAAAGTCAGATTCTGGTAACACTCCCAAAGTGTTTGACAGGTCTTTTAATACACAAATTAAGTTGTTCATTTTCAGATTCAGTTATGTTTGTTCCTAAAGTAAAAAAGATAACTATCACCTACCATTAAAGTGCATTGATATGATCATAAAATACTTATCGGACTGTTCATACATTTATAAAAAATCATTTTAAGAAAGAAAACACTTGACCTATGTGAACATTAATTTAGTGTTGCGTAGTTCATCTGCAGTAAAGTCAATGAACCATTGTATTTTATGACGGTGCTTTCCTGGTATCCAAGACTGCAAAACAAACAAGCATTTTCCCCTGAGCCTTTAGCACAGTGCTAGATCTTGTGGGCACAAGCCTTTTGTCTACATTTACAGTTAGTGAACATAAACTGTGCATTTGCATTGGAAGTACATACAGAATAGGTTTCCGACTTCTCCAGGGGCAATGGGCAGTTTGGCAAAGTATCACATCACTCCATTCAAAGTTAATGATCAGTCTTTCCAATATTTATCATTTTATCTTGAGAAATGCCTTAAATAAAGATTTACTAGTCAAATCAGTGGCTAACTAATTGAGAAATAGATTCAATGTTTCAGCTCCACAAAGGATAGGGTCAGGTAATATTTGCTAATGTAACTAGTCAATTTTTCTAAAACCTATCACAGTTATTTTCTAACGTTGGAGGACTGTGTCTCCTTCAGGCAGCAGAGGAGGGGAGGGGGGAGCCTCGACTTAACCAGGAGTTCAGGTGCTGAAAGCTTGAATATCACAGGGAGAGAAGAGGCAACGCCAAAAATAACAGCTACTTTCCAGTCGGCTGCCCACAACCACAGCCAGTCCCTCAAGATTAAATATGCTACACCACAGAATCTCCAGGCTAGATTCTTACTGAGTGTCGTGCAACTGTAAATACGTCTTCATTAGAAGTGAGCTAAAGGTTTCCTACGGTGAATTTGGGGGGGGGGGGGGCGCTTCACCATGAGAGCATTCAAACATCTAATTGCTGGAAACCAAACATCTGGGAATAAAGCCAGGTGAGCTGGCAGGGCAGCTCGCAGGGAACAGAAGAGCGGATGAAGTAGAACATGTCTGTGTCTTGTCTCAGACGGCGAGGATCCAGCCGCGTTCTAGTGACTGCAGAAGCGCTGGGAGCACTTAGCCTGCAAACCATTTGGTTATGAGACCAGGGAACATGAGGCAATCATCAGAATCAGCTTTCAGGATGTCATCATGTGCCCTAATAGTTTTTGGAACGTATTGTTGAAAGCAAATCCAATGTTTACACAGACCTTTCAAAGTCATTAGAGGTTGAAAAATAATCGTAACGTCTACGACTACGTAACTCTACTCCCTGGAAAAAAGGTAAATCAAGATATTACACTGTCATGCCTTTGTAAAACATCTGTAACATCTGTATTTCTCTAGGATTACTCTCATATAACAATTAAAATCATAACTTCTTAACAAAGAGCTGTAAAACATTGTAGGGAATAAAGCATTCAATGATTTTATAGACAGATCTGGCTGAAAATTAAACTAAAGTTTAACAAGATTACAAACTTTTCTTCATCAGATTCAGGTGTCCTTGGTTTGCACTAACAATCACGCTGAGCTGTTTCATGTTAACGCTGTTTATCTCTGTAGTATCTTTATAGACCCGTCTACTAATTATTACACAAAAAAACGCACCATTCCAGACACAGAAAAGTTTGATCCCCACAACCATATAATCAGACTATATAAAAGTAGTGGCTTGAGCTTTGCAGTCTGCCTGACACCAGATAGATATAATTACAAAACAAAACCAGCTATGTTTAATGGTTAACTTGTGAAACATACCACATTGTTTCCAAGTGAGAGTGGAAACAATGGTATGCCACAGCAGATAGATGTAAACACACACAGATGAGGAAGAAGAAGCTTTCGATTGTTGAATTCTTGTGGATGTTTATCGTCTTTGTGTGAGTGGAAACAAAAGAATTGGTTTTGGGTGAGGATCTGCTGCATACATTTAGTCCATATCAAAGAAACATAATACAGGCGGAAAATATGCATAATAATGTATATAAAAACACACATAAAAGACCGAAATAGGATAATGTAATACAGGATCACTGTAGAATTTGTTGGGCCTTTGTTTAAAACACTTTCTAAAATGATGCTACATTTTGTTGAAAGCATTTTAAAAAGGTGTTGATTTGATTTTGTGGTTGTTTCGGAGACTTTACGCCACATCCATACTGTTTTTGTTTTGAAACTAAAGTAATCTCTGTAGACACAAGTGTTTAGCTCCATATTGTGACCATTCATGTACACTGGGTGTGTGTGCTGGTGTAAACAGGAAGCAGGTTATCTACTGTGCAGTTGGTTGCTCACTTTCAGAAAATACTACAAGTGAGAAATGACGATGATGAAAAGTAAGATGAGGAATCTCCTTTATTGGACCGACGATGAGGTGGAACTATTATTGTTTGAAAAGCTTTGCATGTACCGCTAGTGGTGGAGTCGGGACTGAAAAGAACCAAATAGGAAGTGAATACAGGTAAGTGCATTATGACTCTGTTTTGCCCGTTGGATCAACAATGGAGCCCCAGAGTATGAAAACTGAAATGGAACCAGCAGCTTGAACATTCTGGAGTAGTGTGAAGCAGCAGGTGTGAATGTAGCCACAGTGATGCATTTTAAAACTAAACTGTAGTAGTGTGGATGTAGCCGGGGTTTATTTAATTATCTTGACAGGTGTTTCTCTTAGTTTTTTCCACTCCATGTATAACAATGAGGGCTAAATACCAGAAATACCTGTCTTGATGATGTATTACAGTTCAACAACTCCACAATCTACAGCCTGCACAACGACCGTAGAGTAATTACCTTCCTGAAGGTAGAATTCATTCACTGGTAACTGGGTGTATGTGTGATGGCTTCGCAAATATTTCCATTTTTGTTTAGGATGAATGTTGCTTTGGTCGCAGAGAGGAAGTCAGTACTGAGAGATGGAGTAATACAATTTGGGGGTATTTTCAAGGGAACTGTGAAAAATAAAGAAGTTATAGAATAACACTAGTCTAATCTTACAGTTGGTGGGTGGACATCCATTTCCACTCCTCACAAACTACAGACCTTCATGCAGAAAGGCCATTTTAAAACTGCAACGGAACAGAAGTAATACACTTGTTAGTGATACACAGACACAGCTTAGGAACAATGAGGGAAAATAGCCTTAATTTGAACCCATTCTATGTGGCTGTTCTCTGCCTGCCACCACCAACTCTTTAATCAGAGCTCCTTTCACACAGAGGGAAAGTCAATACCGGTACACGACCAGTAAACAAATTCAGCTATTTCTAAAAAGGGCCCTTTCATTCATTTGAGTTGCTGTAATTTGAATTATTCTAGCGTGTAACACTTTAATTGTGTAAGACAAAGACCATGTCAGAGACACAGAAGAACCTGAGACAGAGGGAAACTTGTAGAGGTACACAGGAGTGTATTCACAGAGTAACAGTATTTCTAATTATTCCAAATGCCTTATTTTTACTGTTATTACTACAATTAATATCATCAATGTTATTGTTTTACAGTAGTATACAGCACAGCAGTGTAGTTCATTTTCTGTACAGCGATTTTGATTATCAGCCATAAAATTGTAACCATCCAAGGTAGACTTACCACAAGCTACGAGAATGTGAAACAATGTTATATGCACCTGTCGAAGTAAAATGTGTTTTATCCGCAACGCCAAGGAGTAGCATTACATTACCCACAATCCTACAATCAGATCCTTCAGTGTTACATAAGCATTTTTTTTAGAGATGAAAAAAAGAAAGTCCAAGGGGGTGCAAATCACTACAACAAGGTTAAATTCAAGTAGAAGCACACTGGGAGCCATTGGACAGGGATCATATGCAGTAAAAAATTATGTACATAGTCTTGTACCTTTGCCTTTTTGTCCCCATTTAAAAATTTTATTTGCTCCAAATCAAATGTTTTGTGGTCACGGTTCATCTCGTACCTGGTCGGCCTAAAAACTCTCTTTATGATGACTTTCTGCAACGTCAATAGAGAAAATGAATTGGAAATTCACTTGCAGAACCAGAGACGCTCTAAAAGTAGGCATTCACTGTGTTTTTTGTATCTATTGTTATAAGATCTGTCATGAAAATACACAGTTTACACACAATAAAGAATGGAGAATAAAATGAATACCTCCATTCTCATTATATGACTGTTAATACCTTACTTACCTCTGTTGTACTTAAACTTAATCAAAAGTGACATTAGAAATCACATGCCAATAACATGTGGTGGTCGTTTTCCACCGTCTTGTGCTGTCTGATTGTGTGAAGCTCAACCAGACGCAGATCCTTTCACATATGTGATTCTCATTCAGGAAACGTCCCAGTGGGAACGTGAGGTTTGCTCTGACTTCATTAAACCTGTCTGTGATATTGATATTGGCACCCACCACACAAAGGTGTCCTACCAGAAAAGTAACAACACAACGTCTACCTTCGCTTGAAAAATGCTGGTGGTCGACTGCCATTGATAGAACAGGATACAATTGCTTATACAGGATAAAATATTTGACGTAAATGGACATACATGATTTTTGAGGATATGAAACCGTCCACCTGTGACTCACGTGTCATGTGGAAGATTCCATCGCAGGCACTGATGTGGGACAGGAAGGCATTTCCCAGGCCTTGGCCAGAGTGAGCACCTTTCACCAGGCCAGCGATGTCGACAACATTAAGGAATGCTGGGATTTTGCTGCAGGCCAAGAAGTAAAGTAAAAAAATGTCAGACATTTGAGACTTCAAACAATATCAGTGGCTCTTGAGTTAAACAGAAACCACTTCACATTTGTACTGAATTAAACAAATTAATTTTGTTTGAAACTGAAGCCTTTTTTTTTAAATTTCTAAATGTTGTTGAGCGTTCGTCAAAGAGGTGCCAGTCATGATGGG